CTCAGCAGCGGGGCGTACACGCAGCGCACCGCCGGCCCCGCACGACACCTCCACAGCCCCACGGGATACACCACGGCCACTGGGACTGTCATTATCAACAGCAGCAGCAGCCGCCATGGTATACCCGCAGGCGCAGCAAAGCACAACGGCCAACACACACATCACACGGCGTATCATCATCGTCAATCTTCTTCTTTTTCTTGTTTTTGTTCTCTTCCTTGTCACTTGAGTTCACAGGTCTATGCAGAGAGTGTGGAAAAGTAAAAGAAGAAGGATGAAGAGAAAATAAAAGCACCAGTACACCACTACTACTCCACACAGAGACACATAATGGAGTCAATCATGAATATAACGGAGGTAGATACCCATTAGGGAAAATACCCATTATTCGAACAAAATAAAGAATCAGCCAATCCCAAATAAAAAAGAAAAGATATATAAGAATTAAAATATCATTTGGTAACATTGCAGAGATAGCCACACACACAGAGAGAAGCAATAATAACGAATAATACATAAATCTATCTGTGTTGGCTTCGTCATGTCCCTATTATAATTAGTGTCCCCACTGAATTAAGCAAATTATATGTTATCCCGCTCAGAAATAATGTGAAAGCAAATAAAAAAAGAAAAGAGATATTATTTACCAGAACCACACAATTGCAGAGTGATACACACCACAAGGAGCACAGCAATGCTCTGCTTACAAGTATAAAAATGAAAAGATATTAGGTATTTCCACACAAAAAAGTGATGTACCCTAGCCCAGTGGGTGTCATCGGGATTAATGTTCTTGGTGCTCAGCTTAGTTTACACAGTAGCAATTATATTATTATATAAGCAGTAAACAAGTGATTAGCATCACTCTTTGGATGGACCCCACCACAGTGCTCAGCACACGGCTATGCAGCCCAGCACAGAGAGCAGCAGCAGCAGGAGTGGAACACGCAGTAACGCAGGACTGCCGCTGCTGCCATCTTTTGTTTTCATTGTCTCCAAAAATAAGGTATTGTTAAAAACATCTTTGGCGTGTGTTGTATTAACGTTAACACCATCAGGAGAAGGAGGAGGTGATGGTGTCTCTTTTACATTCCTTTTTTTCCTCTTGTCCTCTGTGTTATCTTTCTTCTGGGTGTGCTGTTCACCCACAGTTTCACTGCCTCCACTGGGTTGTTGTGGATTCTGCAGAGCTGTTGTATTCAGTGTTTGTGCTTTCCTTTCATTTTTTTGGTCCTTCTCAGACATATTTTCTTCTCCATTAACGTTTTGATTTCCATTCGTTTGGGCTGTGCCGGATGATTCACTGTTGTCTTCGTGTTTCCCCCCTGCCTCGCTTCTCCCATTGGGGTGTGGGTTTCCAACCGTTGGCCCCTGTGTTTGTGGTTGTATCGGCGACTCCACCTGGTTCTTGCCATGCTGACCTGTTTGCAGTTTCTCTGTTTCCGCAGTAGTCACTGCAGCCTCCAGCTGTTGAATAGTATTCTCTAGTTGGTTGGCAGCATTTTCTGCCGTAGTCAGGGCAAGTTGAAGTGAAAGTGTCTCACCGATTGCATCATGAGAAACGTCAATGGCATGTTGTCCAGCACTTTTCGTATCTTTTTTAGTGTACATTAGACATTGAGCCTTTATCTTTTGTAATTCTTCCAATTTGGTCGTACTTTCTTCTTTTTGTTGGCTGTACTTTTTTGTCATTTCATCACATAGTCTGTTGAGTTTTTCTGATTCCTTAACAGCAGCATATCCTTTCACAACAGTGATATCTTTTATTTCTTTTGTTTTCTTGATGACATCCCTTGACTTGGCTACGACATCCTTTGTTTCCTTGACGATGCGAAGTCCCTCAGCCTTCTTCTTCTCAATTTCTGCTGTATTGCCCTTATCTCTTTTGATTAACTCTAAAATTTCATGGGCATACTTTTCGGCTTCTCGGGTAGCTTTATCTGCAGATTCTTCGGCCGCCGTGGAGTTCTGTATTGCTTTTAGAGTCTCATTAGCTGAATTATTTGCCTCCGCATCCAATCTTTGTGCTTCTTTTGCCAAGTCAGTAATTCGCTTAACATCGTCCACTTGTGGATCATCAGCATGAGTCACACTCACACAACAGAGCACAATGGCCAACAGATACAACACACGGCCGGGAAACATGTACATTCTTCTTGTTAATATCACTGAGGACCACTAAAGTCTGTTTGCGTGTATATGTGTCTGTAAAGAGAAAAAAAAAAACAGAAAATAAAAGCACCAATACACCGCTATTACTACACACACACACACATAGACATATACGGCGTCAACCATTTATGTAAAGAACGTACGTACAGATTAGAGAAAATACCCATTGTTCAAACAAAATGAAGAATCATCCAATCCCAAAGAAAAAAAAAAGATTATATACGAATTAAAAAACAATTTGGTAACATTGCGGAGAGAGGCAACAAACACACACACACAATACCCCATGGCTCTAGATTACGTATGAAATTACTGCACACACACACACATCTGTGTGTACTAGCAAGAGATGTATACCGTCAGTAAGCAGAACAGCCCAGGTTTCTGCAAACACACAACGGGAAAAGCAAGTAATGGAATTATTAGAAAAAGAACACACACACACAAAAGTAAAAGTAGAAGAAATTCGAATTGAAAGAGAAATCTGGTAAACATATTATTAGTTTATTCACCCATGGGGATGTACGCAATTGTGATTATGTTAGTTTAACCATTATTATTATTTGACCTCAGATGAGACCCACCGTTCAGTACACAGTAGCAGAGACCAACACAACCACAATCAGTAGCGGTGCTGCAGTGCGCATCCACACAAGACTGACACTGCTGTCAGCATTAGCCTTGTTCTGTACGGTGGAAGTGATGGTGCTGATCTCTGTGTTAGGTGCGGGAGGAAGTGTTGTTGTTGTTGTTGTTGTGGTGGTGGTGGTGGTGGTAATGGTAGTGGTGGTAGTGTTTATGTTGGCCGTTGAGTTAGCATTGGTATTCTCTTGTGAACCTTCTGTGGAAGTCGCACCTTCAGGTGATGGTTCCTGGGTAGTATTAGAGTCACCAGGTGTAGTGGGATCCACTGTCTGATTTGATTCAGCTTGGGTCTCTTGTTGAGTTCCATTTGTCTCTTGAGTTTGGCTTTGTTCTCCAACAATTGGAGTGGCTCCGGATAATGACGAACTCCTCTCCGCTTGAGGGGCAGTAGTATCAGAAGCACTGACACCATCATTTCCATCACGGTCTGGTAGAGAATCGACAGCTTGTTTTTCTTCTTGAATCCTAACATTTTCCCCATTTTGTCTTCCATGTAAAGATGTTTCTGTGACTGTAGAGAGTGTTTGTTGGGGATGAACCTCTTTCAGTAACGGCTGAACTGGTCCTTCGCGTGCAGCCGTTTCTCGTGGCGCAGCAGAACCACTTCTGGTACTCGAGTGAGAACTTCTATCAGAAGATGAATCAGATACTGCCCTATCATGCAAGAGAGCTGTAAAGACATTACCATCACCACCCTTACCATCACCAACTGTCCCATTAGGTTCATTCGTAAACGCGTTCGCTTCCATGCAGACAGAGGCAACACTCAGCAGAAAAAACAGCAAACACACAACGGGTCTCATCATCATGGCAAGAGTAATTTTTGGTTGATTTACTTCACTTTGTTTAAGAAAAAAGAAAGAGTGAGAAAAAGTAAAAAAAGATCCCACACAATAGAAACAAAAAAAAATGGTGGGAAAACAGAACACAACTAAAACAACAGTAAACAGAAAAAATCACTACCAGTATAAACAATAAAGAATCCAATAAAGAGGCACAGCAAAAAAAAACCCGAAAAAAAAAACAAGAAAAAAAAAAGAAACTAAAAGCACAACGAATGCCCAACTAAACATACAACAACACAGACGACTTGGTATGCTGATGCTTAAAAGCAATCATAAAAGTGTGTGTAACAATTACTGTTTTTTTCTTTTCTCTATTCAACGTAAATCACTGTAAGAGTGAAGGGTAAAGCACAAAAAGAACCTAGCAAAACACAAAGAAAAAGATATTAACCATTAGCCCAATTATCCAATAAACAGAAGAAATACACCAACTATGGGTATAAGTCTATATGTATGTGTATATACGCAATAATATAAATTCATCTGTTATTATTATTTCCTTTTGCTCTCATTGCAAAAAGCAGTTCATCATCATCATCACAGTGCAAGCCCAGGTACACCACAGAGAGAGTCTCCAAGAACACACACACACACAATGGAGTAGCAATAAGAATTATTATAGGATAAACACAGAGAGCAAAAACACACACAAAACACACATTAACATTAAGAAACGAAAAAAGAGAAATTCCCAACAGGTAAAATATTAGTTAGATTGTAGGGATGCATGCAAAAAAAGAAAAAAAGAAAACAAAGGATTAACTGAGTCACACCACCACTACCACAATCAGCACACAAGAATACAGGCCAGTGTAACCACAATCAGTAGTGGTACACGCACCCACACAGAACTGCTGATACTGCTGCTGCTGTCTGCATCACCCTTCTTGTTGTTTGTGAGTTCAGGAGGAAGTGTTGATGTTGTGGTGGTGGTTGTCGCTGCATTTACCACATTTCCTCCTTGGTTACTTGATGACTCACTCCCTGCAGATGTAGTGCCATTCCCAACTATTGTGGCTTCAGAACTACCGGAACTCACTGTCTCTGAACTGCTGGTGGAAGAAGAAGAAGGTTGTGTTCCCGCACTTCCCTGGTTATCTGCTTCACTGGACACACGGTTGTCGCTGTTTCCATATTGAGGGTCACCAGGAGGAGCAGAAGCAGCAGGTGGAGGAGATGCAGTAGAATGATCAGAAGAAGAAGAAGAGGTATCATCAGTACCAGAACCAGAACCAATCTCAGGAGCAGATTCACCTAATGTAACGTGAGCACCAGTCGCATCAGCAGCACGATGACCATCTTTATTAGAAGGAACATCGACAAGAGCACCATGTCCAGCCTCTTCAGTAGTAGTTATTATTGGTTTAGTTGGAGTGAGTTCCTTTGTTGCAGTTGTACAAGGAAGATTAGAAGAATTCTGAGTGCAAGTGGCACCAGGCGCAGATTGCTGATGAGAAAGGGTAGGAGGTAAAGGAGGTTGTTGGGGTTGAACACCAGGAGCAATGTCAGCTCCATGAACCCCAGTTTCAGAGAGAGAATCAGAAGAAGAACCAGGATCACCAGTAGTTAGCTGTTGTGGTTGAGTTGCATCCGGTACTTTTGCTGATGCTGGGGAACAAGGCTGACCATCGGTTGAAACGGAAGAATTAGGAGGGCACGACGTCTCAGCAGAAGTAGTAAGACAACTACCGCCATCACTACCTGCAGGACAATGACTAGCAGGATCCGTAGGACCGGCAGGAGTGTGGTCAGTCTGTTGCACTTCAGTATGAAGAACTTTGGTTTCAGGTTCAGTATCAGGAACAACACGATCACCACCTCCACCAGTAAACTCTGCAGATGCCACACATAGAGAGATAACACTCAGAAGCAAAGCTAGTATATAGAACATAAGGCGCAGCATCATGACAAAAGTTGTTCTTGTTACTCTCGTCACTTGAGTTCACAGATCTATGTAGGGAGTGTGGAAAAGAGAAGGAAGAGAAAACAAAAGCACCAGTACATCATTATTACTCCACACAGAGACACATATATATGGAGTCAACCATGAATATAACGGAGGTGGATACAGATTTGGGAAAACACCCATTATTCAAACAATATGAAGAATCATCCAACCCCAAATAAAAAAAAAGATTATAAACAAATTCAATATCATTTGGTAACATTGCAGAGATAGCCACACACACAGAGAGAGAAGCAATAAAAACAACGGATAATGTATAAATCTCTCTGTGTTGGTTTCTCCCTGTCCTCATTATAATTAGTATCCCCATATTAACAAACAAATTATATGTTATCCCGCTCAGAAACAATGTGAAAGCAAATTAAAAAAAGAAAAGAGATATTATTTACCAGAACCACACAATTGCAGAGTGAGACACACCACAAGGTGCACAGCAATGCTCTGCTTACAAGTATAAAAAAGAAAAGAGATTAAGAGTATTTCCACACAAAAACGTGATGCACCCTAGCCCAGTGGGTGTCATCGGGATTAATTATCTCGGTGCTCAGTGTACTGACCACAGTAGGAAATATATTATTATTATTATTATCAGTAAACAAGTGATTGCCAACACTCTCTGGAAGGAACCCCACCACAGTGCTCAGCACACAGAGAGAGAGCAACAGCAGTGGCAGTTTCTTTGTATTTGTTCCACAAATATCAGCAGTATCAAGAGAGCGCCATCTATTTTCTTCCTTTTCCTTTTTAGCAGCCACCCCGGCTTGTTCGGCGGCTTTACAACACTTGACAGTGTTCATCACAGTTCTCTCGTAATTCGATTTTTATTTCCGATTTTTTCTTTTTGATTTAGTCCCTCTGCCTGCAGTTAGATTTAACAATAGCATGAATAATATCAACATAGGGGATATCATGGTATAGATTGTTTAGGGAAAAGTCAAATATGTAAACTGTGGTTATTCCGATGTTTTACACATAATTCTGTGGAGGTTAAGAAGTTGAAAAACCAATCAAGTATCCACCCACTCAACACCACTTTAAGCGCAAAGCGAACACTCTCAAATTCTTTGATCGAATCATAAAATTCATGCTTATACTTATTACGAGTGGTAGCTTCCTCTTCTTCCAATGCTGCCATTTTGGCAATTCTTTCCTGGATCCAATTTACCAAGTT